TGAGTGTGGTTTTGGTTGTGGCTGTTTGTTCCAGTCTGTTCCATTGATCTTCAGGCCTGTTTTTTAGCCAGTACCAGGTTGATTTTATGACCATAGCTTTATAGTATAATTTCAGGTCAGGGATTGTGATTCCACCTGACTTGTCCTTGTTGCCCAGGATTGCTTTTGCTATTCTGGGTCTCTTCTGGTTCCAGATGAATTTAAGGCATATTTTCTCAAGATCTGTGAGGTATGCTAATGGCAGTTTAATGGGAATTGCATTGAATCTGTACAGCAGTTTTGGAAGTATGGCCATTTATTCTTGCCTCTTTTATGGGCCACTTCTACTACAAAGGAAGACAGAAAAATGGCCAGTCATACACTGTCATACATTATTAATTCTTTAAAGTGCCCCCTACTCTTCATTCTCCGTGTTCTCTACTTCTTCGCTCTGTTTGGTGACGTTGCACTCCCAGCACACATTTCTCATATCAGATGTCCCAGATAGGCCAAGGGATGTCCGTATACACAGTCATATTTATATATAAACAGGCAGTATAACGCTTTCTCATGGATGAATGTGTAAAAGGCATGATGTATATTTTTTCTTCTCAGTGAAGAAGTGTCATATTACTTGGTGACATGGGATTATCAGCTTGAGAAATACCTCAGTTCACACATTCCTTGAGTGTCTGTGATGTGTCCTACATTGGGTTATACAGAAATGACTGAGACGCGGTGCTTGATCTCAGTGAACTCACTGTCTTAGTGAGAGCTGTGCCGACCAGCAGTGGCAGGGCTGCTCACAGCGTGTCCTCTCGCAGCGCTACTGCTCTGTACAGCGCAAACAGGTTATGAGGGTGCACTGGGAGGACACGCAGAAAATTCAGTCTGGATCTACAGCTCGAGAAGTTTTCCTAGAAGAGCTGATGTTGTGAAGTTGCTGTAGAGGTGACGTGTGCATTGAGATTCGGATGAAGAACAAAGTGAAAGTATTGCTTTGAGACAGTAAATGGTATTTCACTGGCCATCAAGCACCGGCACAAAAGTATCACTGCTGCCCCTGAATTCCACGTTGTGCAGAATGACTTTCTGTTGTTCTTCTGATAAAGAATGGGAGTTGATAGTTCACATTCTTGTCAGAGCCATAGTTTCCCAGTTTGTTGATAAACCTTCAAATACCATTTGGAAAAGTCATTATAAATCTCTCTGGCCTTTCCTCTACAAAATAGACTTCTTTTAGTACATTCTCAAAGGTCTTGTTCTTCTTTCAGAAAAATCATACGTGTTATTTTCTGAGTTCAGTCATTGTGCAGGTCCCACCTCCCCACCCCATATATTTTATGCTCAGGTAGCATTGTAGTGCCTTAAAGGGGGATGGCTAGTGAGACTAAGCCCAAGTATCATTCTTACTTACTTGGACCTCAGTGCTGTGTGTGTAGGAACGCACCACAGAGCACTCTGTTGATGCACCTGGATGAAGTGCTGGGATTATAGGTGTGTGCACTTCATTCTACCCTTTCAGTTATTATTCTGTAATCTCCCCCTCACCTGATTGTTCTCTGTCCTGACACTTTTCTTTCTGATTTCTGGCTGTACTCATTTCTTGAAGTTTGGTTTTCTTGTCTCTACGTTTTCTCCCAAGAGTGCTGTTGGTCTGATCTTCAGCTTCTCCTCTGTATGACTGTCATCTGAGTCTCTGGTGTCTGCGTGCATGGGCTGTGGAATCATGTCCTCCCCTCATCCTTGACACTTCTCTCACTGTTTAACTCTCCCACTCGCTCTTCCCATGTCTAAGTGCAGGGCAGTCTCACAGACTTCAGTTAAACAATGTTTGAGCACCTGTTTCTCCTTTTCTGGTCCCCAATATATTCTCATCTGCAAAGCCATGCCCAGCTCTAAGCCATCTTTCATATCAGTGCCATTTATATTCTTTGAAAATACACCATCGGCCACGGTGAAATGCAGATATCATAGTCAGGCTGGTTCTTGCTACCTTTTAGCTTCATTTTTTGCTGTCTTCCTTTATGAATCTTGTACAGAGGCAGCGCAGAGCTCTCAAGCTGCAAATGGGAGCTTGAATTCTGGTTCTGGCATTTGTCAGCTCTGTGACTGTGGGTAAATGCTTTACCTTCTCTGTTTCTCATTTTCCTCTTCTATAAAATAGGGCTCGTAATTGGGCCTGCTGTGAAGGATCATTGTGTGGGCTAAGTGAAAACCTCAATGTCTGGCATGCAGCAGTGTTTCAGTAAGTGGTGGCCATAGTTAGATGCCATCTATATGTAGGACTGAGAGAAAGGTAACAAAATTAAAGGGTACATTTAAAAATAAATTTTAATTATTCTATAGCCATTACCTGACACCATTGTAAAGTTTAAAATTTAATAAAAGCAGCTGGGTGTGGTGGCACATGCCTATAATCCCAGTACTCCGGAGGCTGAGGCAGGAGGATCGTTGTGAGTTTGAGGCCAGCCTGGGCTACAAAGTGAGCTCAAGGCCAGCCTGTACTGCATAGCAAGAACTTGTCTCAAAAATACAAAAAAAATTTAAAAATAAAAGTTAATAAAAGCATCCCTGTTTTTGCTTTCTTTCTTAAGCCGCAGTAAGATAATGCTTAGAACTGGATAAACAAGTGATTCTAAGAATCTTAGGTAACAGAGTAAATAATCAGTGTTTTCAAATTATCATTTTGTCCTTAACCTTGGAATTTCTTTTCTAACTTAGGGTAGAAATTTAGCATCAGGAGAGGTTGGATTTTTCCCAAGTGATGCTGTTAAGCCTTCCCCATGTGTAAGTATTATTATTTTTTTTCTCACTTTCTTTTCCTTCTGATGCTGTCATTAATTTTGCGAGAATGTACAAAAGACACTGCCAGGTCACTCTTTAATATTAAAGTTTTCTAGAAGGGTCATATTATTTTCAACATTATTAAGATTCCATGATCAAAAAATATTTTAAAATATTAAGTAAGTATATGCAAGGAGAAAATTTAATAGAATTTATAAAATTAAGTTGTCAAAAAAATTTTAGAAGAATTAAGTCAAAGATATATTATTTAAGTATCCCTTTTCTCACTGAGGTAAGAGTGGGAGGGTCTAATTTATTCAGTCATTTAGGTTACATTAATAATACTCCAATAGACTTCATCTGCTATCTTGGAAAGCATTCTAGGAAGTGGAAAGTCCTCAAATTCTTCTGTCAAATCTTTAAATTTACTATGTTTTAGTGTGCCTGTTTTTTATTTAATACCAGAATGAAATTTCCCAATAACAACAAACAAATAGAAGGAAAATGAATTAATGTTTACTCAAATAAGATAGGTGAGTGTAACATTAACTATGCTTTCTGGTGTTTCATGATACTGATAAATTTTTGTTGTCATAATTTTAGCATTACTATTTTAGATTGGAGGTAGATTTTTCAAAAAACCTTTTTAAATTTTCTAAGTCCAAAGCAAATAAAAACTTTTACTAATATGGTGGAGTTGATTGCTTGAAAAAAAACTCTCAAAATTCTTATCTTTCTGCTAATTTTCAGTAGTTTCTATATTTCTAAAATGAATGTTCTTTTTTAATATTAAAAATGTGAATGTTTCCTACCTTTGATTTCCATGTAACCTCTAAGATATTTTACTGCCAGGGGCTGGGGATTTAGCTCAGCGGCAAAGCGCCTGCCTGGCAAGCGCAAGGTCGTGAGTTCGGTTCCTGGTACCTGAGAAAAACCAAAAAAAAAAAAAAAAAAAAAAAGATATTTTACTGCCTTCAAGCTTTCTTATTTTCAAAAGCAGAAGAAATTTTAAAAAGATTTGCTATTCTGTTGGTTTTGTGTTCTAATGTCACTTCTTTGGTCTTGAATAATCCCATAATTTTTAAGAAGTTGAAGCATGATACTACCCTTATTTAATTAGATAAGCAAAAATGATTGTTTGGCTAGTTATCTGTCATTTGCATGAATGAGATTCAGGCTTCCTTTCTGTAAAGCAGTGATGTTTACATATAGGCATGTAGCAAGAGATTATGCATTATAACATTAAGATGTTTGGGAGCCTAAAGGCGTGAAATCAAGACTATTAAGCATTTCATATCCCGAATGTTATTATCTCTTTATGGCCTCTTGACTACGGCACAAAATGAGCACTTGAAGTTTTATTTTAGAGAGAGTCTGGCATAAAGTAGGAACTTAAAAGTTACTGTTGAATGAGTGAACAAAGGAGTGAGAAGACAAATCTCTAGCTCTGTGTAGTGTTGGATGCTAATAAAACAAGTTTATGAATCCTGTAGGATGGTACTTGGTGGACCCACTAAGTGACTAGAAAGATAGAAATTTTAAATGTTAAGCAGTTGTAGAGTAATGTGGAATTATGGGCAAAGTAATCAAATAAATACAGTCATTTTATAGCTCAAAGTTAATAAATAGCTATTAAAATTTTATGATGTAGCTGATGAAATTGTATGTTTGCTGGTTGTAGGACGAGTTGAGTGAAGATAAGCAGAAAGAGGAAGAGAAAGGAGAATAAGTAGAGAAAGTTTGGAAAGTGCTATTGTTTCGACCCTGGAATGTATTGTTATCAGAGGTCCAGGAGTAGTGCCGCACGTTTAATTATGAGCTTAAGAATTATTTGCCTGCATATGCCATGCTGGTCTCAAACACTGTTCTATGCACAGGTCAGAACCTGGAGCTGGTGAAAACACTAGAAACACAAAAATGAGACGTGTGTTTTGGGAAATTTCCTGACTGGACGCAAAGCCTGGAGCTATAGCGTAATACAGACTGGGTTATCTTTTTGAATCTAGGAGCCCTCAGAGGGAAAAGAATCTCATGGAAAAACATACCGCCTACTCTTGTCTTGGCTCTGGATCGGGCAGGGAAAAAATAAAAACACATTACCCTGAGAATTATTAACTTAAATCCAAAAATCTTTCCAAATGTCAACCTGGAATTTCTCCTAGCTCCGTGATCTAATATTGTAAGCTAGAAATATAGTTTTAAATTATTCTATATGGGGCCCAATGAAAATAAAAGCTCCCCCTGGCTTGGACCCTCTTTATACATAGTGCTCAAAGAACTTCTACAGCTAAAGTCTCAGCAAACAAATTCACCATTTGCAATCATTAAATTCCTGAGAAAATAGACCATTGTAAGGTACGGTCAACAGGAATAATAAAAAATAGATTGGACCTCTGCCTTATAGAACAGTGGATATTGGAATTACCTGATACCAAATTCAACGTTTTATATTTAAGGTGATTGAAGAGATAATAAGGGATTAAGTATCTAAGAGGAGCGAGGACACTATTCAAATCAGCATATTGCAGATGTTGTAATTGAATTCAAGGTCTTAATGGCCTCGTTATATGCTGCATGAAATGCAGTTGTAAAGAAAGTTAGAAGAAATATATAAAGAAATTTCCCAGACAACAGTTCAAAGAGATTAAGAAATGGAAAATGTAACAGAGAGTGAATAATAGGATTCAAACACATTTAATAGAAGGAGAGATCAGAGATAATTGTGCTGAAGCAATAGTGAAATGAGTAATGACTGATTTCTTTCCAGAATCTGTGATAAAATTAATATTAAGAATCAAAAAGTATATTAAAATTAACCAACATCTTGACACATTTTAATGAAACTTCAAGACATTAAAGACAAAATATGAAAACCAACCTAAGAGTAAAAGAGTGCCTATCAACAGCTGATGATCAGATACATAAGTAAAAGCAGCAATAATAGAAGCAACAAGTATTTACTTCTGGAAAGTGTTAGTTAGCTCCTATTATACCAGTCCTTCCACAAGTAACAGCTATAAGCTTTGGACACCAGATAAAAATGAAAGTGTCTGTGAAGGTGCTGGCTAACAAGAGTTGCCAGTTGTGACAGGGCGTTTATTAAGTGACTTTCCTGGTTTCATGGCTAACTTGAGGGCAGGGTAGTATTAGGGTGTAGCATTCTGAAAGGATGAAATTCTTATAGAAACCACATGATATTTGTGCATTGAAGAACCAAAATGTGGAGTCTGAAGCAAGCACAGCGGCTGGAAAAGAAGACAGGAAATCTTAGGAAGGAAAGAATGAGAGATGAACCTCAAATTCTGTATATAAACTTGCCCTAAGCTTCTGGTAAATGGTGAAAGTCTAAACTGCTCAGCCTGCACTGAAAGAACTAAGCTGAGAATTCATCAGTCACTTAGCCCAAGAGGTGTCGACTCCGAAGTTAAAGTTCACCCAGGTTAAATCCCTGCTTTCAGAAAAACCACATTCTTTGTAGTAGGATAGAATCCAGAATTTTGATTTGAGTTAACAGTGTATCATACAAATTATTCCAGCTACAATCCAGAATTACTCATTGTGCAAGGAAATAGGAAAACATGAGTCATACTGAAAAGAAAAATTGATGGAGTCCCACCTTGAAATGACCCACCTGATGGAATTAGCAGGAAAGGATTTTAGAAGGCAACTATTATAACTGTAAGGAAAATGTGTTCATAATAAGTAACAAGAAGCCTTAGCAGAGAAATAGGAACTATAAAAAAAGAACCAAATAGACATTCTGAAACATGAAATTGTAATATTTGAAAGAATAAGAATATGTTGAATGGTTTAAGAGAAGAAAATTGCTCTCAGTTTAAAATCTCCTGAATAATGGCCCTTCTAGCAAAACAGAGAAAGACCATTTCTAACTGTCCCACCTAACTTTATGTGGTGTACTCAGGAATAACATATGTGAGCTATATATCCAATAAGGCATTTTTAAAACACTGTCTGTCTGTAGCAATAATTTAATGACACAAACTGTCTGTGGAGACATCAGAAAATGGCACTAGGGAATAATAGTAATTATACACTCAGTGATGAGAGTATCCAGAAGGAAAGTATCTATAGTCTTAAATATAGTGCAGCTATCAAGACAAGGACCCGAAGTACACAGAAGACAAACGGAGAGGGCCCATGACAGAAGAGAAAAGGACCTGAGTCTGCTTATGGGGATCGCAGATGAGAAGGTGGTCCTGGTTCTTCACATGTCAGAGTATACTCACCGAAGAGAGGAAAAGCCCCAGTAGAACTCCTCAGGCTGGGACAGCCTCAGTTTCTCTCTTCTGCCGTAGAATTGGATGTCGTTCTTCAACTTGCTGGATCTCTAGCCGTCGAAGGAATGCACAGTGCAAAACTGTGTTAAAGTCTTTCTGTGTGTCTGTCTGTGTCTGTGTCATTATCTCTGTCTCTGTCTTGCTCTGTATCTCTCTGTGTGCCTCTGTCTCTGCGTGTACCTGTCTCTCTCTCTCTCTTTCTGTCTCTCCAGGGAATGTTAGAAGCAAGGCAAAGAAGAAAGATTACTTTTCTTTCTCATTTCAGAAACTATATATATCATATCAAAAGGGAAAACACTGAAGATCAATTTTTATTTGTAAAAGTAAAATATATGAAAAATTTGCAGAATTCTAATGAATATTTTACCTTCAATAATTGTTATGTATCATGATTTTATAAAGTATTGCTATTAAAAATATAACTCAGAAGATTAAAATTATTTAAATATTAATAGCTATAGGAATGTTCTGAACAGAACAGTATTTTTCAATATATGAAACTCTGGAAGAACAAAATTATATTAATCTGTTATGAAAACTAGCATATCTAGAGACATATTGAGCAAATCTCTGAAATGCTATGACCTATATTAAAAGTAAAGGTAATAGAATTTTTAATCAACCAATTTAAAAGGTTCAGGAATACTGTGGAATGTATACATAAGAGACTTACATGACTCATGGAAAATTTCTTAACACAAGAAAATATATACTCCATCTTTTCTTGGGAACTTATAAATTGTCTCCCTCTCTAGTATATATTTTGTTATTTTATGAATACTAGTGTACCTTTTTGGGGCTTTGTTCTTTTTCTAGTTGCCATTAGCACCTAGAAGAAATTTTCTTTCTTTATATGCTTAGAAAATGCAGCATTTTTCCCTTGTGCAAAGCTCTATTTGAGAAAAGGGAAAATGGATATTTTCCATGTTATTTTCCTGAAGAAAATGTTTTCCAGTTGGGAGACTTTAAGAAACAGAATTTAGAATTTGTGTTACATGATTCAGTCTACACCCAATGCAGAGTATTTGTTTTGCATATTTTCCCAATGCCTTGGGAGAGGGAAGTGCTCTTTGGTTTCCTTAATAATATTTTCATTTTAATTTTTTATGATAGGATTAAATGGCCTTAATAATAAATATTTAAAGTTTCTAGTTTGTATTTTCCTGCTACCTCCTCCCTTGGAGGTACAGTGGCGGTAAAATGAATGAAAGAATGAATTGAAGAGAAATGAATTATTTTCTACTTATCTGACATATACTATGATTCATTCTGTATAAAGTTGCCAATGGATAGTTCCAGGACTGTGCTACTTAAGGGTTTTATAGAGCTGAGTCAGCTGAACTGAATTAATGATTGATTGCTAAAAGCTTCCCTTAAGTAAACTTAATCTATTTTTGCCTTTTTATATTTTAGGTACCCAAACCAGTAGATTATTCTTGCCAACCCTGGTAAGTATTAAAAATGTTTATGTAGCTAAGTTGAAATACCATACCCTCAGCTCGAGGACGCCTTAGTAGTAAACCATGTTCCATTTCCATTTGTCCTGGCTAAAGGTATTTTCGGATGTAACAAAATACCATAATGAATCCATATATTGCTGACCTTTCTGTGTCTTTATCAGCGAGTGGTGTGTGGGTGCGTGTTAGTGCATTTGAGTGCACTTGATTGTAAACTACACGTTTATGTAACAGCCCCAGAAAGAAAAGGAACATAGGCAAATATGTATCGTGTATAGAGAAAGGTAAATTTCATTAAGCAGAAACACAATAATGAACGATTCCATTATTTGGAACAAAGAATTAGCTCATGAGGATAGCAGGTTCTAAAACTGAAATTTACAACTTGTAATATAGAAGCACTGCAATACATCCGTGTCTGTTATGGGTCAAGGTGGAGCGTACTTTCCCCTGGAGGCAGTATAATTAACAGAATCAAAAATGTGAGCAGAGGGTGATTATTGTTTTTTAGATATCTTCAACTGTAAAAATTATACTTAGGATGCAGAAGAGTTGTAGCTATCATCATATCAGAATAACTAATACACATTGATTATTTAGGATGTGTTTCGTGTATTACAAGTTTTGCTTTGTTTCCCCATTTGCGTAAGGAAGATTGTTGGAGTACACTATTATTATTACAGATGAGGAAAGAAAGGTTAAAGCCATGCAGTTTGTGAGTGGTGGCCAGGATTCCATATTATACCATCTGCACTTTGCTGTACTGACCCCCAAATCACAAAACTTGGCCTATTACTCATATTTGTTTCCCTGAATTTGTATTTGATTCCTCTTAAAATGTCTGTGTTTTTTTTCCTGATATTTAAACCTGTACAGACAAAGCAAGGATGAGGATACAAATACCAATGAGGTATCCTGAGAGTATATACTGTAATTCAGTTTTCAAGTGTAGGTAACACTGGAGTTGCCTGATATCTTTAAAATAATTTGATTATTTTCTGTTCTGTAATCAAAATATGCGCAGCACCAGGCTAACTTTTCAATGGATAGGAATCAGTTGCCTGTGGCATTTTTTTGCTCATAGGCCCGACCTGCTTGCTTTCTCTCTGTAGTCACATCTGCCTTCATAGTCTTCACCTACCCTCTCTGCTATATCACTCTGGGCCTTAGCACTGAGTTTGCTCAAAAAATTGTAACAGGTTTGTGATAGCAAAGGGCATCCCTGCTACATTTTTTACCTGCCATAAGACCATTCTGAGGTCCTAGTTTCTGTGGAATTTAAAACTATAGTCTTGACAGGAATTAAATTTGGATGCTCGAGCCAATAGCATGGACAGTCAAACTAAAAAATAACAGGAGCTGATAAAAATCATGAATGTATAATGATTGGGTTCCTTTTCTTTCCTCCTTTATTGTTACAAGAGTCTTGATTTTAGTGATGAATACTGATGCCGCAAACTACATGGGTTTGTGAAATAAGCTCATCAGGTACCTCGGAGCCAGTCAGGGCAAAAGAGGATAGATTTTGTACCCTTTGTTTTAAGAGATACCTTTGCCCATGTGGGAAATACTATGGAAAATATGACCAGTTAGAATAGTATTTTTCATAATGGTAAAAAAATCAAGATGTTTGGGCAAAGGAGAAGCTTTAAAAATAGGAAGTAATAAAGATATTTCCTGGAGGAATTTTAAAGTACTTTTTCTTCTCCTTTGACTAACCTGGACAGTTTATTCAAACTAAGCAGCCAGTTTCATGTGAAAGGCCTTCTTCTAGGGAACAAAATGATCAGCTACACCAGAAAACAGAACTACCAATTTTAGGTAGACTAAACTGTTTAAAGAAAATTACACTAACTAATGGCATGTCTGTCCTCAAATACATATCTCCAATTATATTTCTGTTTATTATTTCCTTACTTAAAAGGAGGTCCTTCACATGAAATAAATTTTGTTTTTATATAGGCCATAAAATAAAAAGTAAAATCAAGGTGATTGTCTTTAATAATCTATGTTTTAGGATTTCAAAAGACAGGGAACTATTTCCAAACTGAGGAACTATTTGGAAATCCGCATGTAGAATAGAAATCCACGCCAAGGCCCCCATTCCGTTCTCCAGGAAGTCAGCAACTTGCTGTTTTGTACCTTGCAGGTGACCCTGGAGGTAGAAGGTATATGAGGAAACAGGAGCACCCGGGTTAGGGTTTTGGAGGACGGGGAAATGCCATGCTGAACACAGGGGCGGGGCTGAGGAAGAGCTGCAAACAGAAAGGCCGTGCTCCCCAGTCCCTCTGTATGGCTCGCTCCCAGCTCTGTGATAGCCTCGCTTACGTGTAGCACCTTTCCCTGTATCCAGACAGGAGGTTGGAGAACTTTTATATAAATAAACTGTGTAAGTTCAGAAGGAAAAACTAGCAACAGCTAAAACCTTCACATTTGCATGTTGTCCAGCCCTGTGATCAGATTCTTGCCAAATGATCAGGCTCCCACCCAGAGGCCTGCCTTTGTACCCACACACGGAGCTTCTAGTAATTATTCAGAAGCCTCCTTCTTAAATATGAACCAATAACAAAGGTAGCTTGATGCTTGAGGAAAGCCTTGAAATACATAATAAAGCAAATGAATAAAAAAGAAACTTGAAAATATACTTTAAAGTAAGCAGATTTTAAAAAAATTCCTTTTATGTACAAAGTTAAGAGAAGATATCACGTTGTAAGTGAGTTGGATGTTTTATAAAAGGAATAATCAGAATTAGAATGAGCTCTTATATATTAAGGATCATACAAAAGTTGAAAAATGATGTGTTTTTTAAAATGAAAGATATAGATAATATTGAGAGAAAATACATGAAAAGTAGATTATTGATCTGGGAAGCACACATTTGACTAGTAGAAACTTTGGAAAAAGAAAAGTGAGGGCAACAATTAAAGAAATAGTACAAAATTTTTTTTTTCTCAGCACTGAAGGACTTGTGTTTTGGAATTGGAAATGCTTCTGGAAACCCAACACAGTATAAGAAAGTGCTTTATCATGGAATTTTGCAATACAGAGAATATAGAAAAACTCTGGAGGCTCTCAAGGAGGTACAAACCAGGTCACATCTAAATAGTCAGAAATATGAAAGACTTTGGATGGAAATTAGAAGGGGATGCCTTAACACTGAGACAGAACAATTTCTCACTGAGAATTCTATACCCAGCTGTACTGTGAGTTGAGTGTGAGCTAAAATAAAATGTTTTCGTAAGTGGACTTTAGAATATTACATCTCATGCATCCATGTACAGCAAACCAAAAAAACCTGCTAACGACCTAAGAAAGAGGAAGCTGCCCAGTACAGGAAAGGCGAGCAGAAGGAAATCTCAAGTAGCTCAGCGGGATCAGAGGGCAGGCAGGGTCGATTAGACTAAGAGACGGAAGGCTTGTGAGAAGCGGGTGCTGTGTAAGACATTAACAGGTAAAGTGTGTGATGTTGAGAGGTGTGTTGTTGGGGAGATTATTTGGAAAGAACTCGTGCTGTGCCAGAACAAAAGAGCCCGAGCAAACAAAAATCTAAGCTATTATTTTTAGGAGGTAGACGTTTTCGTAATGTGCTAAGTTGCTAAAATTGGGCCAGCTAGTGGTTTGGATTTGTGAGGGCTTTGAAAGACGAGAATGAAGAGTAGCGAAGGAGTGAGCAGAAGTGTCAGGAGAAAAATGATTTTATTTCCATATGGCTGGAGTTGAGAAATTAAGAAATTATAGTATGATGTGCAAGTATTGATAAAAATAAGCAAAATATTTGGAGGGAGGCTTGGACTAGGACGCTGGTATGGTGAAACGTTTATCTTTTTATTACAAGTATTACAGTATGGCTTTCCTTTTTTTTTTTGGTTTTTCTTCCGGTACCGGGAATTAAACTCACGACCTTGCGCTTGCCAGGCAGGCGCTGTGCCGCTGAGCTAAATCCCCAGCCCCATGGCTTTCCTTTTTAAACTATAGTCTTGTATTACTTTGACAAATATACTTTGTACTAACTGTGACAGTAGGGTTGCTGTAAAGAGAATAATGGGGTGGAAGGTACAAAAGGAAGAACAACTTTCTTTAGATGGGGTGGTCAAGAAGCCTGTCTAAACTTGAGTGGTGAGAAGGAACTGCATTAATAGAGGATGTGTTTCCAGACGAAACTGCAATCTGTGAGGAGACAGTATGAGCAGAGGAGCTTTTGGGGCTGGGGATGTAGCTCAGTGGCAGAGTCCTTGCGAGGCATGCTTGACGTCCTGGGTTCAGTCCTCAGCGCTGGAAGGAAAAAGAGCTTAATGAATTTCTGAATTTGAAAGAAGCGAAAGACTAGCATTGAAGGGTGTTGTAGAAGGTTAAGTTGTAGAGGTAAGCATGGATGGATCGTACTAGACCCTAATGGTGCATGGGTTTTTATAGCTGCTCTTTTAGTCCAGAGTACCATCAGCATGAAATGCCCTTAGCTGCTCTTTTATACTTGATGGAACCCTACCAGGCCGTCCCGCAGCAAACTTCCAATTAATGCCTAGGTGTGCTTTTAAAATAAATAGTATAGATTATCGGCAGGCATTTACACTGAGTTACATATTTGTATACATGAGTCAGAGAATTTTCTGGAATATTAAACCATGCGTGGCTTCAAAAGATAGCCAATCCAGATAAATCTTTTTTCCTTTAACATCCGCCGCCCAAATACTATGATATATTTTGCCAGTAATGTTATGCCTATATTTGATGTGAGTGGTCATTCAAAATAATTTCAGGGTGAATTTGGACCCTTAATTATGACAGTCGTTGTATGGCATTTGTGTATGCTTAAGGCCCTCATAATCTAGGAGAACTGAATTCTGGTTTTGGGGAAAAAAACCTGCTTTTTAAAAATGTTATATTCGCTACTACTAATTTGTTAAGAAAATTGGTTAGCAAAATTATAGACTGTAATAATTAATATTATACCCAAGGAATAATTATTTTCAAATAATTTCAATTGTTACTAGATTTTTAAAAAGATGCTCAAAGGAGATTTCACAATATGCATAAAAAGGGGAAGTGTGTGTGTGTGTGTGTGTGTGTGTGTGTCTTAGAGTAGTCCCTCCCTAAGTCTTTTCCCTTATTGTCCCTAAACTCTCAACAACTGTCTTTCTGATTCAACAACTCCTGACCCTTCTCTTTGTCCCCTTTATGTGCTTGGTAAATATTTACTAACCACTTATTATATAGTAGGCATTGTTCACTTTGCTGTGAGCTTTATGAAACTTTTGTGTTTGGACATATTAAAAGACTTTTTATCTGAATTTTTAAAGAAATGCAATTAGTAAAAACAGCCGAGATCTCCCACTAAATTAAAATCTTGACAGACACATACCAGCCTCTCTTGTCTTTCAAGTATATTATTGAAATTTTCTGTGTTATTGTTTCTTACAGGTATGCTGGAGCAATGGAAAGATTACAGGCAGAGACCGAACTTATTAACAGGGTAAATAGTACTTACCTTGTGAGGCACAGGACCAAAGAGTCAGGAGAATATGCAATTAGCATTAAGTAAGTAGGACAAGTACTTTTACAGAAATAGATTTCCTGTTTTCATAATGACACAGACCATCTGATGTGCATAACCCTGAAGTTGCAAACCGAGGTTCTAATTGCAGCAGAAATGATGCATCTACCCAGACAGTTCATTAATACTGGCAAATATCTGTTACAAAACAGTAGTATGTGTTATATGCTGCTAATTGGCATATTAGATTTCTTTCATAACGTTATATTTTGTTGACTTGATGTGTGTACATTTCTAGTAAATTCTAAGAGTATAAATTACTAGACTGTCTTATTCTTTTTGCTTTCTCAAACTGAACTAAGTAAATTAAGCATAACAATTAGTCAAATCCAAACTCCATCTCAATTCAAATATTAGTTGTATTTCCACCAATCTAGAAAATATATTTTGTTAATTAGCCGACGCCATTGTATTGGCATAGATATATATTTTGTCTTCAAAATTAATTCCGATAATGTTATTGGGGCATGCCCTCTGGTAAATATTGATTTCTACTGATTAAAAACACATTTATATTCAAAAGTTATTCATTGCCCACAGGTACAATAATGAAGCAAAGCATATCAAGATTTTAACAAGAGATGGCTTTTTTCACATAGCAGAAAATAGAAAATTTAAAAGTTTAATGGTAAGTATTGATTATTTTTGTTCAATCTATGAGGCCTGTTTTTTTCTTGTTAGAAAGACCAGTTAAATTTTATAGATTCTTGGATACTTTACTCACTGAAAATTTATTTAAAGATAAAATCCTAAAAAATTCTAACTTTAAAAACTCTGATTAAGTTTTATGTTGTTTGAAGCATTTTTTCATTGTATATTAGGTCTGAAAGTTTTACTTCATATTTTAGATTCTGCACTATTGATGGCCTTGGTGTCATGACAGATTCAAATACCAACTTGCAGTTATTTGTGTGGGTTTTAGCTTGTGTTTGAATGATACCCTGCAAATGCTTAATGTGCCCTTTTTCTTTCTTCATTTGCTTTTATTTGCTCATTTGGCCAGAGGAAGGTGTTATAAATCATGACAGAAAGAGCTACCATTAATAAAATGCCTCTCTTGTTTAGTTTCATTTCATAAAAATGCAATAGGAAGTCAGAGTGAGAGGTTTTCTTTTATATTTTCTGCTATTCTAAATTGTGCATTTATTCATTACCTTGGACAATTAAACATAGTTTACTTGTTTTTCACACGACAGTCACTATTTAATAGAAATTTTATATGTAAGTGGAAGTAGTATAGTTTTATAGATTGCTTCAAATGAGCAGCAATCGCCTGATTAATTCCTGTAATTTTTTAAAGAGGTGGTTGGACAGAGGAAGGAGGGAAGGGAAAGGGGGTAAATAAAGGAATTCAGGCATGTAATGTACCCAGTTCACACGAGGAATGTAAACATTATGTACTGTATCCATGTATTAGTAACATAAAATTTTTTTTAAAAGAAGCTGAATAAACTGTGGCTGTCACTTGATATTGAAAAGCTATACTTTAATAGTTTGATTAACATAGAAAAATGTTCTGTGTGTCGTGAATAATGCATATATCTCCTGTATGCTAACCATGCACATATGTTATATATGCTAATAATAAGAAAGATTTCATATTTTCTTAAAGGTGGTCTCGTGTGTTTCTCAAGTTTGGTAGTTTCATGAGATAATAAAGGAATTTGGATATAAGACATAAGATGTATTTGCAGCTGCTAAGTCCCTTGAATAATCCTGGAAAGGACCACTCATTGACTAAGCATCAACCAAGGGCCAGGGATGTAGCTCAGCAGTGCAGTGCCTGCCTGGCAAGTGCAAGGTCCTGGGTTCAATTCCCGGTACCAAAAAAGCAACAAAGCAACAAAAGTCAATCAAAAGATGCACATTGCATCTTTCTAGAAAACATCAGAAAGCACTTTGCAGATGTTAACATGAAATTTAAAGTTGAGTGTAAGAAAGCCTTGCAAAATAGACCAGCTTGAATGCCTTACTAAAAACTGAGCACTGTGTAAAGACAAGGATCTGTTTGTTTTTTTTTTAAAGGAAGCATTTTCAGTTGAAAGAAAAAGAAGAAAATCTCTGTAGACATAAATATAACATTTCTAGTTCAAAAGCTAAGGAAAGGCAGCATGGCCATGTCCTGGAAAGTGTAAACTCTGTCAAATTGGAAACCAAGATCCAGGCGTTCTCCCTGCTGGAAGTAACTCATGTTCCGTTGGAACAAGCGGGCTGTGCAGAGAGAACTCAGCCAGAGGAGGTTCTTCATGAAATGAGAACCTAGCAGAGAGGTGGCAGGTGGAGGCACAAATAATGAACAACAGGCACAGCTGGGACGTGGTGACAGCATGCTCGGGGACTCCGCGTATCTCTGTAAGACCCGCCAGTCTGAGCTTTCCCCTGCAGAGCTTCCTGGGACAGTAATGAGGCTGCTCCACAGTATTATAATTAATACGGCACTTTAAAAAATGCCACAGGGCCAAAGATGACTTCCAGCCTCTTGGCCTTTGAAAGTAAGCGAAAGGAAGTCCCATTGGAGGAGACGCGTGCAGAGGATGAAAGGGACAGCCACTGGAAAGGGCCAATCAGTTCAGCTGTGTGTCACCTTGGCTCCTCTCAAGGAAGTTCTTTCGCAGCAAGGGTTAGATGTGGAAAGCCAGAAATACCGCAGCGACCTGGACTGGCAGACATAGACTCTTGAGTTTCTGTCTGTACATACGTCTGTGATTATAGCTAAAGCAATCAAACCCTGATTCAAATCATTTGTACAAGACCACATTACTGTGTACTAATGTACCGATGTTCTGGAGAGGGAAGTAAGGGTACTTGTCTCAGGCTTCAAATAAGCTCCCCTTATAAAATGTAGGTAAAATGCCAAAAAGGCTACAGATGCATGCACACTTTCCCCCTTCATATCATGGGATGTTTTGTAGGAGAACCTGTACTTCACTGAGTTACGGGGGGGATGAACAGCAAAACTACAGTGAGACTAGAAAACACTAGCAAATATGTGTAGTCGTGAGAATGAAAGAGTGACAAGGAGCTGGAAACCTCGGTCTCAGAAAAGTCCTTTCTCAGATTTAGAAAATAACTATTAAAACCAATGAAGAAGCAGTTCTTGATCATTATTTTTGTTTCTATTTAATTATTGAACACATTTTTATTGAGTCTTTTCTATGCAAAATCACTGATACTAGTGAATACAAATATACCAAGAACCTCAACATGGTTCTGTCTGAAGGATGGTTCGTATTTCAGTAACGGGCCCCTTTGAAAGGCAAAAAGGTTACAAGGTACAAGCGCTCCTTAAAATCAGAATCAGACAACCTCTAGGAGATGCCTTCTTTATTACTGGCATCAAATACCACAGTTTGCATTACCAGTCAGTATGGTTTGTAGGTTTGAGTTGTTTCTTAAGAATCGTTTTTTATCCAGCTATCACTGATGTTAAAGTTAGATTTCTCTGCCTATGAATCAGAATAGGGCATGGAATTAAATTTTTATCTGGAAAGGATATAAAACACAAGCAAACGCTGGAGTTTATTTTAAATTCTCCAACTTATCAAAGAGAAGATTGGCCTTAGGTGTTTGGAACTGAACTTTGTTCCCTTGGGTTTCAATAGCTTAGTTCATCAAAATTTTTGTTTTTCTTAGTCATTAAATTCAAATCCTAAATGAATTTCTGTATCCAGATTACAAGGCATTAATTTTGTTCTAATTTTCATGTATGCCAGACAATCCATGTCCAAATGCTGTTTATAAACCATCTCCGTTGCCTGTTTCCTAGGTAATTGGAATGACTAGCTCTCACTCATTATTTTTCAGAGAGACTTGAATTGTTGACACTGCTGTGTCAGTGTGAGATAAGGAAAGCTTAGCAATTTCTTTTGTTTAGTCTTCTTATTTACTTGTTGTACCTGAAGGTCAATGACTGCTAAAGCAGGGGTGGATTAGACTGAAATACAGAAAGCATAAAGGCATGAACTGGAAAAGCTCCATGGTGGCACTATTTAATGCTATGCAGAAACCTGTAGGAAGATATACCCTTCTAAGACTGTAAAAGTGGAACTAAATTATCTTCCATGCTTAGCGAAGTGTTAAAGAGTGTTTTGCAGTTTACTAAGCTACATGACCATAGGCTTTGAAAGAATGATATTTTTCTTCTGTAAAATTTTGGAGGAGTAGTAAATGATGACCAGATTCTGCAGCAGAACAGTGCTTTGATAGTTTCTAGCCAACTTCACATAAACATTAATTAATTATAATTCATAACAAAATTTGACTTTTAATGAAATTAAATTAAAGTTAAAGCTATTGGCACGTAATTCATTTCAGGCTTATTTTCATATTGCCAAAGAAAGTAACAAATTTTATGGAATTTAAGTATCAAAACTAAGAGAAAAACTCTTCGATTTAATTTGCATTAAGAACATAATATGTACATGTACTTTCTTCCAGAGACCTTACAAGTTTCATTCTTTTAAAAATTAATAGCAATTCTGATCACTAAGAGCCATTTAATTCCTGACCTAGCCTTTGCAAACTACATATTAAAAATCAGCATAATACAAATGCTGTATTCTAATTGTTGATACTATTTTGAAAATACAAACTTCCATCTAGTCTAGTGGTTTTTTTTTTTCTTTGTCCTTAAAGTTGGTCAGATTCTGCATTCCTTTGTTTCAGAAAGCACCCCCATTAGCTAGGCCCAAGAAAGGAAGGAAGGAAGGAAGGAAGGAAGGAATATTTTCTGAAAATTAAAAATGTAATGTATGTAAAACCTTAGCATCTTAAATCTGAGAAAACAAAGTTCCAGGCATGTCACAGACAACTAGCAAACTCCGTTTCCCTTGGCTTGTCTGTGTGTGTGTGTTTACATTTTTCAGGTACTCTTTGTTAATAAGCCCAAATAGTTAAAGGCATGGACTTTGGAGCCGTATCAGCTGTGTGATCTCCCACACGCTGCTTAGCCTGAGATCTTTGCGTTCATGGGGATGATGACTGTCTCATAAGGTTCCCGAGTAAGGGTTATGACAAAGAATAATCAGACCTCAGCACCTGGGATAATTGTAGCGGTTGTGATTATTCTTGTCAGGCACCGTATGTGCTCGGTCTGTGGAATGGCTTGTTGTCCCCGTTTTACAGGTATAGGGATTGAAAAATAATCTCTCTTTGCTTTATCCAGTGCTTTAGACAAAGCATACTGCTTAATTTATGCAGGTGGGTTTTTCATTTTTACCTTTATAACTATTCTCAGCCTGCCTACTCCACCTGAAGCGAACCCTGCACCATTCCTGGCTGTTGAAATTTTATGTGTTCTTCAATTTAAGTCACGCTGCTCTGGCCCTGAAAGCTTCCCTTGTACTCCCTAATGGACACACCAAACCATAGGCTCTTGTGTGCCTTTGAAGTCTTCTTCACTCTCCCTTCTAGGGTGGGAACTCCTACTGAGCAGGAACCTTATCTTCATAATCTTTGGGACCCCTGACAATCCCAGCACAATGCGGTCCACAATATATCTACCTTTGTTGATAAATGATAAATCCTCAATCATTCTATTTTTCTCCTTGTGGGTGATTTTTGGCCCAATTGATTGGTTCTGGGAACTTTGAATACAACCACTGAATGGAGGTATTGAATTGACTTGACAGTGTGGTTTTTTAGAAGAAATAAGTTGTTTTTCCACAGTATTTTTAAAAATATGCTTTAAGAGAAGTACTGAATAATTAGGTTAAAATGGTTTTGCTTTCATTTTCATTTTGGGCGTTTATGAGAAATTTTATACATGATAAGATGCATTTTTCCCTTATGAATTGTTTTTTAATTTCAGTTTATAGTAGAGAGATTCATATTTGTGCAGAAGTTATGAGGCAAACACATGAGAAGAAATTTCCTGAAGTTTTAGTCTAAAAGATGATGAGTGGTTATGCTATTAGGCTTGAATATATTTAAGGCAAACTAAGTAAAATTCAAACCACATTACTGAGTACCAGGTGATAGCCAGAGCTACAGTGGGTGCGAACACTCATCATAAACCAGAGGCAATGTCAGTTGGCATTTGTGCTTTTCTAACTTTTGTTTACCATGGAAAAGTACATTTAGTAGCACATTTGTTTTTTGGCCATGTTGAAAAAAATGCAGGAAACTAGAAATTGCTATGTATTAAGTGAGCAGCTGTTCCTTTTATTTTTTGTTTAGAAAGGCAAGCATTTCATAGATAAGAACAATAATTACTACTCTGAAATTGAGGTTTAGTTTAGTTTTTGTTTCCTTTCTTTTTCATTTACCACATCTGACTGAAGCCTGACAAGATGTTATGTATCTGTGAAGAACAGGGGAAAACTCACATTGTGAATGTCCTAAGTATCAAGGACAGCTTCTAGGCAGGTATCAGGTACACTCAGACATCAGGGACAAATCACCATTCACTAACTCTTCCATGGAAAATTTAGCATGAAATCCATTATCTTTATATATAATTTTGTGATAACAAAAGTATCTTTACTAAAAATAAACTTTTCTTCTCTTTTCTGAAGGAACTTGTGGAATACTACAAGCATCATTCTCTTAAAGAAGGGTTCAGAACCTTAGATACAACTCTGCAGTTTCCGTACAAGGAGCCAGAACATTCGGCCGGACAGAGGGGTAGTAGGGCAGGCAACAGCTGTGAGTATTGTATTTGAGAATATGATTTGCTGTCACTTAAGGGTTGGAGGCAATATAGCATTAAACATCTTTATTCCAAACTTTGAAATATGACCAATTAATATGCTAATGCGTTGAGCAAGGATTATTTTTTCTTGAGCTAAACAGAATCAGAGGGACCAACAGGTTTATGAACGTGTCTAGTTGTAGGTCTTTGTGCCAAAGTAAAAAATATCTCTGAATTAAAATATCCATTATAAACGTAAAGATTATGTTCACATATAAAGTTTATATTTTCCCCTGGCTTTTATCTTACTAGACTTTTAAATGTATACATAATGTTTGTAGCCGCAAAATACTGTTTGAATGGTAGTATTTAGGCAAAACCGATTCATAACTCTCCTTTTTAGACTATTACCCCAAGTTTACTTACGACTGTATTTCAATGACTACTTTCAAAACTGTGAAATGACTAACATATTTTCTTGGATGACAATATTTCAAAAACCATACCATAGCCATGTTCTTTCAAAATAAACATGGGCCGGAACTAATCACAAAAAAATTAGCATGCAAGGAAATTCACATCATCCTTTGAGTGTGAATCCAAGTCAAAATTTTTATTTTTCCTCACTTTTTAATGTTACATATTCTTCCTAGAGATGGTTAGAGCATGCAGAGAGAATATTGTGATGGAAACATAGTGTAAAGTAAGTGTGATTTCATTCCCATGGTTTGATGTCTTTTTTTAAAAAAATCTGTTTTAGAGGAGAAATGAAACTAGTTTTTATTACTCTTCGAATCTTTAGCCTAAGCAAAATTGGAAGATCTAGAGGTATTTGAAAAAAAGAATTTGCATCAGTTGAATATAACTTGAACTTTATTTTTTTCCTGAAAGCAAACGCTAAAAGGGAAACAGGTAATGCTCAGGGTTCCAACAACATTAGTAAAATCTTATACATGCAAATATAAGAAAATGTGCACATTATTTGTCACATCAAATGACAGGTGGTTTTTGAAGACTTCAATAGCTTAATAGCTGCTTTTGCAGTGATCGGTGACGTATGCCCAAGCCTATGCAGTGCAAGTAGGAAGAACATACTTTATATTCAAATTTTAAACACTTAAAATGTTACGTGTTTTAGCCTAAAATTACCTAATTATCAGAGAGTCTTAAGTAGGCTATAATTCTTACTCATTCAAAAAATGAAAGCTTTTCTTACAAAACAGTTTTCCTACCAATTTCTTAAAAGTCTACCTAAGTTATGACTTCTCCCCACTGCATGAAACCTGTAATTTTCAACTGTATTTTCTCTGGCTTCCCAGCAGCAGGACAAGTTTCCAAGGAGGTCAGCTCCACCAAGCTCTGTTTGAGGTGTTTGATTTGTTCCAGAGCATGTAGGGGAAAGAGAAAGGGTGGATATCCTGTATTACATAGGAAAGCTTTTTTAACCCTCACATGCATTTCACTGCCTGGTTTATGCCTAGGTGCTTCTTTGGTGCTTGGGATGTGTAAAAGTTCAGATGATGTTGCCCAGTAATAAATGAAGTTGCCTAACATAAAATTTTGTCTCTAGTGTTTCGTTAAGTATTTAATTCTCAAACTTTTTTAGCAACTAGGAATGGGGTTCCTTTTTTCTAAGCATGGCCGATAGAATGATGATGAATATCCATCTTAGCTACAGGCAAAGTTTGCAATGGAGTCCTGAATTCAGACATCCCTACCCAGTCTTTTTAAGTGACTCTGGCAGAACACTATAACCCTTTCATAATCAAGAAGTGAAAGCAACGCATTCATTTAAAATTTGATGATATGTATTACAGTTTGTCTTTATTCATCAGGAAGACTCAGGCAAATCTGGGTTGGAGGAGTTCAGCATTTTATATAGAGTGATCAGGGAAGATCTTGTTTGCAGTGTTCCCTGAAAAAAGCGAGAGAGTAAGGTAATAGATCAGTCAGCAATTACTGCACAGCGGTTAACTCTCAAGATTGTTCTTCCATTACTACAAAGCAGAAGTCTAATATCTGATCAAAATCGTGGATGCTATCCCGATGATTTACCTTGCGTTAAAGTTATGTAAGATGGAAATTATGTTAAGACAGTCCTGAGAATTAAATGAAGTACCACAGATAAAGTACTTAGCTTGTACATAGTAAACACACCTAAAAGTTCACTCTACCGCTTTTACTTCTGCTACTAATGCTACTGACACCTCTAACATAGCACATACTTCCCTGTATTTCTAAAGCTTGAGTAAATCTACAAATTGCAGCTCTTATAGCAATTTATATCTTCGTTTTTATGATTTTAAAGTAGTTTTTCTTATTTTAAACCAACCCTTGAGTCAGAGTTAACCATTAAAGAAAACACTGTTTCTAGTTTTATGTATGTAGGATCTTCCAGGAAATGACAGCAGGAAATGATGCATATTCTGTATAGGAAGATTATGTCTGACGTCTTTGTAGGGCTTCGCTCTGCTTTAAGACTTTGGGTATGCTGCAAAATACTATCTAATGGAGCTGACACAATTTTGTAACTGTACTTTTACCAAACTTTGGGATATTGGATTGGACTGAGAACACTGAGGTCTCTATTACTTCTGTATAGTCTTGAAGCACAAAGGACAGACAGGGAGAGCCCAGAACCATCTTGGGCGCTGCGTACAGGTTGAGAAAGGAACTCCAACTCCTGAAACAGGCTCTTTGTCATTCTTATTTTTAAGGTGTATGCTCACCTTGGAAAAGAAAACCTTGGGGTATTGTAGAGATTGCTAACTTCAGGAATAGTCTAGGTTAGAATGTTCTTGGGACCATTGCCAACCATCTTGTAATGTGTAAATAAGATGAGATTATAACAAACCTATGTCATGCACATGAAAATACCATGTAAAGAGAAACTCATTAGAATTGAACAGGAGCACATCAGTAGGCACAGAATATAGCATTTCAAAGAGCCCACTGTTGGCTGCCTCTGAGACTGTCTCCCAAGGTGATGGGATTTTTTTCTTTGCCTTTGGAATAACTTAAGAGTATTTCCAAAGGAGAAAAAAAAGACAGAAAGAGAACAAAGAAATAAGTGAAGGGTACCAGCGAGCTCTTTTGGTTCCCGAGAAATTACAGGGGCTCCATGGAAGCAGGTCGTGTGGGTTTGTGTAAGACTCTGTTATTTTCCAAAGTGGGCCTAGCAAATCTGCCTTCCACTCTTTAGGTGTACCTGAGGGGCTGGGGTATTTGAAGGGAACTAAGTTGACTTTTGCCTTTCTTGCTCTACAGTGATTTTCTTTTCAGGTCTACCTCAAAGTAGCTGTTAGATCTTGGGCAAGTCATTTAGCCAGTTTGAGCCTCAGCTTTTCTGCTGATGAATGAGGAATGAGATTAGAGGATTTATACTGTTCTTTGAAAAGTAGCATTCATCGTTTGTTTCTTTGTATGGGAGAGGGAAGGAGGTGAAGTATAGTATTACTAGACCATTACACTAGGAAAAGTTGCACAATTAGCTATTTTGTGATCCACACACAGACTTAACTAGTTCCCCAAATTTATATTTGTGGAGAATTAATTGGCCTACAGAGAACAGATGCATATTTGTTTAAAATGTTTACTATAATGATATTTATAATATCAAAGTTTCTTCCATAAGAACTTATTGATCATAAAAAAAGATAGCAACACCTTAAGCAAGTGATCAAATTTGACATTGCCAGTGGTGGGACAAATAGACACCATGTACTGCCTCATAGAATGCTCTGAGGGGTCCCGGTACCAGAGAAAAACCAAAAAAAAAAAAAAAAAAAAAAACAAAGAATGCTCTGAGGGGACCCCACCCCCAAAATGCATAGTTTGAATCTAATCATGAAGGAATGTCAGAGGATTGGCAATTGAAAGACATCCTACAATAATCAGCTTGTATTCTTTAGAAAAGCCAAGGTAATTAAAGATAAAGACTAGCACTGTTAAAGATTTTAAAAGACTAAAAGATATGACAGCTACAGATCGTGCTGTGCACTAGGGCATTATGAATGGGAGCAGGGAGGAGGAGATGGAGAGGAGAGAGCATACAGATGCAGTGTAAACGTGTTTATGTTACTACAAAGGACGTGAGTGGGGACAAATAGAAACTGTAAATAAGTTCTCTAGATTAAATGACAATTGTATCAGTGTGATTTTTTGCTTTTGATAATTTCACAGTGGCTATTTGTTTTTCTGTTCTTGAAGTATGTATCAATAAAGAAGATTGTATCTGTAGTTTACTGTCAAATGGCCCAGGAAAAAAATTGATTGATAAAGAAAACATACTAGAGCTGGGCATGGTGGCACACGCCTGTAATCCCAGCACTTGGGAGGCTGAGGCAGGAGGATCCCTGCGAGTTTGAGACCAGGCTAGGCTACAAAGTGAGCTCAAGGCCAGCCTGAACTGCATAGTGAGACCCTGTCTCAAAAAGACAAAAAAAAAAGAAAGAAAAGAAGAAAACATGCTGAAAGGTTAACATTTGGGAACTCTGAAGTGTGTGGAAATTCTTTGTGCCCTTCTTGTACCTTTAAGTGTGAATGATTTCAGAATAAAAGGGTTTAAATGTGGAGGCGCTCCCATCTGCTGGCTGTGTCTAAAGAGCTGGAGAAAAGTGGCAACGTCCTCACTTGTTCCAAGTGCAGGTGGACTTGGTCTCTGACATGGGCAGCGAGGAACACAACACGTGCAGAGATCATATTCGAAGCCTTTTGTTGCTTAGCATGACTCCTTGGTATGCCTATTTCCTCATTCCTTTCTTCCACGTCTCCTGTGTGCCAGGCCTTGTGCTGGAGCCTGGAGTTTTAATACTGATTATGATAGAGCGTCTGGCAAATAGGAACAGACGTGAAACAAACAGACTTAGGGATCATCACAGATTGGACAGTGAAGCCAGAGCACAAGTGCAGGGGAGTGACAGGAGGCTCACTTAGCTGCTAGGGTCATAGAAAGTCTCTTTGAAGAAAAGTGACTCAGGCCAAACTTTCAGGATGTAGGAGGATGGCAGGGTGT